TCCCATCAATGACAAGTTTCTAAAGCAGTGACTTAATTTTTTTAATGCACAGATATTGACATTTCGGATGACTTGAGTTGATTGAGCAAAAGCAGAAGAGCTAAGGAAGTCTTAGGTTGTTTTATTGATTAAGAAATGTTGCAAGTCCAGAGGAATTTTCCCACATCGCTAGATATTGTTCTACCAGCATAAAGGGTGCAGACTCCAACACAGGTGCTTATACCTGGCAAGAGTGGTGTTGCCTCCCTTTGCAAAGGCCTTCTCAGCCACACTGACAGGTACTAGAATTCTAGGTTGGTTCCACGGATGTTCAAGGATGTTAGTGAGAGGGGTAATTAGTGAATGGAACAAAGGATCACCCCCACAAGCTGAGCTTTATTCTCATGCATCCTACGTGTTGAAGTTAAGTACAGATCCAAATCTGTAAGCTAGATTTTTCTGTAATAAATATTCCAAATAACATACAAATAAGATCACTGCCACATTCCAAGTGAATTTCTAATCACTAAAGAATGATTTAGCCAGATTTTGCCAAAGGCAAATCAGCAAAATAAGAATTATTAGAGAATGAAATTAAATGTAAACACTCAAAAACAACTAGAAATGAAATGTCAAGTTTTTCAAATGGCAATTTTTTTTCTATGCCATATCTCCTATGGTTTTCTTAAATTTTAAAGAAGTGTAAGGAATAAAGTCACCTGGCTTTTGCTGAGGGCATGTCCTCTCAACAGCCTGATTTCTTCTTAGATTGTCCTTATTTCTAAATCCAGCCACTCCTGAGAAACTGAGAGCAAAGACTATAAGAAAACATTGTGCAAGATGGCAGAAAAAGGACTATTCTCATACAATGTTAACTTTGAAAGTACTTTTTATTTTGTGAATTTTTTGTTCTACTTTCTGCCTTTGCTTTACGAAGCTCTCTTCACAGATTAGCTACTTCATTTTTGTTATTTCTTGGATCATTAGCCTTCTGAAGTTTCTTGAAATAAAGTAAGTTCAGTAAGTAAAGATGAAGGAAAACATAACATATCCATATGCCTTCTGTATAATTTGGTTGGTGTTTCAATCAGATATGTGTGATTCTATCTCAATAGCACATTATCTTTAAAAGAATATTTTTAACTAAGCCTCCGATCGCTTTTATGAGATTTGATTCTAGACTTGAAATTATATCATACTGTACACTAATATAAAATTGGGACTATTTTTATTGTTCAGGATTTAAATATCTTGCATTTATTTATAATCCCTGATACTGTTAGGGTATGTAATGATACCTTGTTTCCATCTGGAAAAATTATCTCCTGAAATACTCATTAGTTTAGTCCTTAAACAGGTTGGAAAGCAATGAAAATACTACTTTCATCAAATTTCCTCATACAGTGCATGGAATTTGACATTTGCCTTAAAGATACACAGAAGTCTTCAACATTCACTTTCAGCTATTGATCACTCCAAGGATATTCATGATTTTTCTATTTAAATTTTGAACAAATATATTATTTTGCTTAAAAAGGTTTTTGTTATTTCCATTGATCCCTTTGGAAAGCTTCACTCTTGGCGCATATATTTTTAACATTATTATTTTCACAAGTTTTCTTGGAGCTGGGGAGATAGCTCAGTAGAATAAGCACTTGCCTGGCAAGCCCAAGGGCCTGAGTTCAGTCCCCAGTTCCACAAAAAAAAAAAAGCCTTACTATACAGAAAAGTGAACAGGGCTGTTTCCTCTGACCATGGATGTTAGTTACTGAACAAAATTCTTACTGTGGAGTAACTTCTTACTAATAGTAACTTCTGTGACTTGTTCTGTCACAGCCTTGGCAAAGTCAGAAACTCCAAAGTTGGAAAATGAATAAGTAGATTCTCCAGACTTGTGTTCACTTTTTCTAAGTCAATGACTTAGTGCTAAAGTGAGAGAAACATTGTTTATTTGCTGGCATTACTTTTTAAGTCATTTAAGATTCTGAAAATTAATTCTTTGCTATTTTTGAATAAGGAGAACTTATCCCCTTATTATCTCTGCAAGAGATATTAACAATTATATTTTATACCATGTTTTTTTAAGTTGTTTCTCCTTCTCTGACAGAAGGATCATGTGACATTCTTAGGTTTGGTTTTTCTGTTTGTGTCATGTGTGTAATGTGTAACGTGTTATCTGTCTGTACTTCATTGAAGCATTTGTAGTACTGTCTGGGGGGCACTCAGTTCGTTTAATGAAAGCAGTTGATAAGAGCTGTCTTGTGTGGATGCCTCTTCCAAGAAAGGCCTTACCCTGTGCTTACCCGCCTCATTCATGAAATGTAATACTGTCACTGTGCTGTTTTCTGCTGACTATGTTCCAGGGGCAACAGAGATGGCTCAGGGAGAACATCTGGGAGTCGCCAGAGCAGCTCAGAGAATGAATTGAAGTGGTCTGACCATCAGAGAGCCTGGAGCAGCACAGATTCTGATAGCTCCAACCGCAATCTGAAGCCCACTATGACCAAGACAGCCAGTTTTGGGGGCATCACGGTGCTGACCAGGGGTGACAGCACATCCAGTACCAGAAGCGCCGGGAAGCTGTCCAAAACAGGTAGTTAGTACTGAATAGATTTATGTCCCCTGATGTGTTCAGTGTTAACTCAAGCTATGTGGTCATCCTTCTCTTGGAGTCAGCTCCACATGACACTGTGGGAAATTAAAAGCTGCCATTTAATCTATATAGATTACTGCTTCTTTTTAGCCATGAGCTTTAACAGGTTATTAATCCATCTAATATTCAGTCTCTTACCTTTTATTTGAGTGCATATATGTAATGTTTACTTAACTAATTTAACTTTAGTCAATTTTACTTCCATAAGTTGCTTACTTAAACTGTGCACTAGTTTAATTAAATTTAAATTAGATCACTTTTGTAAAAATGATTACCATGGCACTTGTACATGGCAATTATTTAATGAAAGTCAGCTAGTGTTTCTTGTAGTTGTTGTTTTTTAACTTAGTGGTACAAGTTAGTCCTTGCAACTATCCTTTAAAGTAATTATAATATTAATAGATCCCATTTTTGTGTTAGCACACATTAATACAATGCTAGTAATTATATTAAGTATAATATTATACTTAAGTATAGTATTATATATATTATATTATGGTAATGTTCTGTAACCTAGTTGCACTTGTTCCTTCATCTGAGATATGGAAATAATAGCAACTGTATTGCAGGATTATTATGATTATTGTAGGATCATTATGATTATGATTATTATGAAAACTAAATGCCTCAGTATACACAGAGAAACTTGAATGATGCGTGACAAACTGTAAACACCCAGAAAACATTAGTTCTTATGCATTTTCTCTATTCCAAATTATTTTTTTATCCCTGCTTCTCAGACAAGGTAAATGGGTCTCTGAGCAGTTTAAAGGTTTTGGGTTACTGACTATATGTATGTTTCTCTTTTTGACTTTTTTCCCCAAGTGAGTAGTGATATTTTGTGGTAGATAATTTAAGTTAGCATCAACAGTCTCTAGTAGGTAAGTGATCATGAGCGGTAAGATCTAAAAGAAGTATTAACTTGAGGGGTTTTTAAACTAACTGAAGCACTATTTTGACTAAAAACAGAGGACCTGCTGCCTCTCAGCAAGGCAGAGATTTGAGAGCTGTGTTTCATTGACATCTGCTAAGTGTCAGAATGTAGGCAGAAGGTCAGAGGAGAACAAGGGCCAGGGGCAGGAGATGGGTGGGGCAGAGCAGTGAACACAGGGTGCCTAGAGTACCCATCACCATTTAGACAAGAGCAGACCTGGACATAAATATTGTCCCAATCATCCTTCACACTCATGCTGAGGCAGGAGGAAAGGGATCTGCAGTATTTATGTTCATTGTGCTGATAGTTTAACATAATTATGCTGTTGACAAATTCTTTCAAATAAATTATCTCATGTTTTCCTACATAAGAAGAAAATTAATAGCATTCAGTCAGAGCCACTAGTATGTCCTTACAGTAGTGCTCCTTGCAAAGATTCAGGTGGGCTTATACTATCTTCCTATGAATTTTATTCACAATTGTTGAGTCCTTGATTTCTTCCTCTAATTAATTGCTCTCATATCCCACTATTGGAGCAACTAAAGTCAAGAAAATCCACCGTGGTACACTTGAACTCCTGTAAACTAAGAAAGGTTAAATAGCTTTAAATTTTAAAATGCAGAAACCAAATGCTTTAAATGGCACACTTTAAAATTGCAGTACACCAAAAGAGCTCTTAAGATTTTAAAATCAATCATCACTTTCTATGCACCAACATCCAATCACTTCTAAAGAAAAGCTCTTTGGAAACATTTAAAACACTTCAAGAACACTAAAATGCCATGTTCTTTGAAGAATGATTGCAAATTGTAAGTGCCTCAGACATATTTTTTTCTTTAATTTAAGTGTCTCCTTTTGAAATCTTGTCAAGGTGCAGGTATGGTGAGGAGAAAAAAAATAACTTAAGAAGATCAAGGTAGGATGTCAAAATGAACTTACAATTTCCCATGATGGGTTTATGAAGTACAGCTGTAAGTTTTATTGTCTTGGAGGTTCAGAACAGCACAAGTTTCCTTTTTTTTTTTAACCTCATTGTTCACAGTAAAAGTGCAAAATCTTTTTTAAATATTTCAGAAACCAAGTATGGAGTGTGACATTTGAGTAACTGTTCTCCTCTAATTATACAGGTTCTAGCTTTAAATAGATAATAATGAGACTTTTTCCAGGTCAGAAACATGTTTTCCTACATTTTAGTAAAATGGATATTACTGAGATCTGAACATAAAACCACATTGTCTTGAGGCCTGTGCTTCTACCAGACACCCAGCACGTGTCTGTGGGTGGGGACAATGCCCTTGCACACTCAAAAAATATTTACTTATGCTCGCTTCGGCAGCACATATACTAAAAAATATTTACTTGTTACTTAGGCCGCAACCTCAGTGAGATTGTCGATGCAGCTGAGAAATACAACTAAACCTGTTTATTCCTGTGCTGGCCCCGTGAAGCTGTTTTATTATTCATTCTCCCCCTTGAGCCTCACCATAGAGGTCCTCAACTTCAGCTACTTAAGGGACCTGAGATTGTGCGTTCCTAACAAGTTCCCAGTTATTAGCTAGTAATGTTTGTTGGAAAAAAAACATGCTTTGTAAATAACTTCTCCAGGGATATAAAATAGCATTTTGTTTTAACAGTGTTATAGGATGTGATACATTGTTCTCTAGATTCAGGAGCTTTCTTGCTGTTCTCACATTCTTTGTCTATATCATAGGAAGGTTTTGGATCCAGTGAAGGTTCCCTTGTCTGCCTACTACATCCTCTTGTTTATTTTTGTTGCTATGCATCTTGGATATTTTCTTTCTGTTGTAATTCTGGAAGCTTCAGGTTATTCCACTGAACTCTGATCCCCTAAATCTGAAATATTTTCTTGAATTACTAATTCAGAAACTTACAGTTATCTGTCTGCAGGATAAAATGTACTATATGGTCAAACAATCAAAGAAAACTTTATTTACAAAGCTAGAAACAAGGGTCCAGGCTGCTGCAATAGGAGGGGGACAAATTCAGTTTCACTGAATCAAAATGCAGCCAAATTTTTAAACACTGGGATAAACAGTGGAAAAATTGAAGGATGTTAGAGTGTGCTAAAGCAACAGTTTGCTAATGTGTTTGCTAATTAGTGCTTATGGAGATTGGATTCCTAACAACCTTCCCACCACACCCCCACCCTGCTCTGCGCAGGGAAACTTGCAATCTGTCTTCTTGATGACTGCATTTCAGAGGCTTGGCTCCTAGGTCCTTAGGAAAGTGAATTCTGAACTGGAAAGCCAACTGAAAGCTGGGAGGTTTACCAGAGCATCTCAAGGAGTTCTCCCCTTCCACACAGCTGCCTCTTTGGGTGCAGTTTCAATTTCTGAACATTCCACTAGAACTTAGCACAAATTTAATGACAGCTTTGTCCCCTCCTGAACTGTACTCAGTGACCAAAGTGTAAACATTTCACTGATTTAGAGCTTGTTCCATGGAACCAGGCTGACAGATTTGGACCAATCTCCAGCACTCAACAAGTGAGATTTGGGAAAACTAGCTGATATACCTGAGACTCAGTTCTCATCTTTGAAATGAGGTTGCTATGAAAATTATGGGAGACTATTCCTATGGAGAGATTAGAACAATGTTTGTCACACAGACACACAGTTTAAATATTGGCCATGACTACCCTTAAAATCCTAAATTCTTCAAGTATCAGTCTCTCTGTATTTGAGTCTTTGAACCCTTTAAATCCTGAGTCATTTGTCATCACTGCTAGTATCTGTTCTTCTCAAGTATTGCGGTCATGCTGGCTCTACATAGAGTTCTGTTCTACCTCATCAGGGTGGTAGATGCGCACAAGTCCATCAAAGCTGGTTATAAACAGACTGGAGAGGTGGTGACTAAGCTTCACTTTCACGTATTGTGGAGCTACCAACTCAGAAAGTTGACTTTCTGCCTACCTTTGCAAGTGTGGCAAGTTTAAACCAATTTTAGTTTTCTTCTTTTCTTTAATCCGTGAATTCAAATCATTCACTTTGTCTCATCCTCCCTCCTATTGAAGTTACTACTTTCTCCCAAGGTGACAGGAGAAACTTTTGTAAATCAGTGATTAATCATCATCTATCTAAAGTCAAAATTATCTCACTCTGTATTCAGTGTGTCTCTCCAGCCTGCATGTTCCTCACCACACACACACACACATACACACACACACACACACACACACACCACCACCAGCTTTAGCTCACATTTTATCAGATTTCAGATGTACTTTATGGACCCTATTTCTTCTCATTAATGAACTGACTCCCCAGCCTACAGATGAGTTGAACTATCTTTGTATCATCATTTCTATTGTTGCTGCTGTTGGTTAATTCATTTCCAATGTCCACCTTGCCATCGAATTGCTCACAGCAAGTCTATCAACAAACACTCCAGGCTGCATTGGGACTATGACCTCAGAGTCGTAATTTCAGTAGTTTTACCTCAAAAGTATAGCATTCCCAGCATCTTTTCTACACCATTTATTTTTATCCCTATGTGTTATTCAGAACCAATTGAACATTCTAAACCATGTAGATGGACAATTCTGAACTAAAATAAGACATTACCCTTATTAATAAACAAACCAGGGCCAGGGAGATAGCTCAGTAGAAAAAGCACTTGCCTGGCAAGTGCAAGGGCCTGAGTTCAAGCCCCAGTTCTGCCAATAAATAAATAAATAAATAAATAAACCATGGACATAGCAGAAAAGATGCGCAGTTGTGGACACTGTTTATAGTATCTATCTGTGCACACTTTCTAGAGTCAATACATGATCATCATGAATAGGTCAGGCAGTGTGGCTCAAATCCCTCTTATAATTATACAGCCATTTGAGCTGGTTGGGTTATCTAACTTCTCCATAGTCATTCCCTATCTATTAAAAACACAAATAATAGTAATTATTAAAGTGTTCTCAAGTGCTTATGCACTGTTTTCAGACTCTCCAATTGCCCTACTACACTACAATTTCATTTTGAAGTTCTATCACTTACCACTTATTTTTAAAGTTTTCCTTTAACTAATAGAGGGATTTGTTCTAATGGTGTTTGTAAATAGGATATCATGTCCACATCTTATACAGCAATTAAACACTAGGAAGAATGTATGCAATGTGTTAATTATTGAAACTGTCCTACCAATTTGATTTGAAACTGTCTCATTGCTATTTGTTTCTCAATAAAATTATGAAAAAATAAAAAATAAATAAAGTTTTCCTATTTATTTGGAGGGCAGTTTTTAGAATCCTGAAGGTATTTCACCTATTGTTGACCTTTCATGAACTAGAAAAATTATTTTCAATGAGAAAATTCAGTATCTATGGGTAATGGTTGAATAATTCTTTTTATTACATCCTTCCCACCTATTCTATAATACAAACCATTAGTTTGAATTCATATTAATAAGAATTTTTCTTGGCAGATTTTCCCGCTAGTCCTCTGTTTAATACTTAGTACCCACAACAGCCAAGCTTATTAATGAAGCTGCATAGCTCTTGCTACTTTGGAAGGAAAGGAGTCCCCAAGGAATTGGAACGTATCCGATGCTTCTTGCTTTGTTCATAGTGGAGGGCAAGAACTAATTCACTAGGAAGATTCTACATACTGTTACCTACCTATTTGTATAACCTCAATATTTATATTCCTCTGTGTCCCCTGAAGCACACTCAGTCTTAACTAAAGGTTCATGAGTTATTACAAAGGATGAGCCCAGCTCTTGAATGTATTAAAAGGAGTTCCTCAAGTATGTGAAATGCAGTCCAGCATGTTTGGTGTTTAAATATATCACATGAACAAGTATAATAATTCCCACCATCTATTTGTCACATACTTAGTTTCAGGTCCAGTGTTTGATTGCCTATATCCTTTTCATCTTAAACCCTTAAAGTCTTTAGTCAGTGTTGTTCATCTTTACAAAAATAAAGTCAATATTTAGCAGTTTAAAGGTGTCCATGTCAGAAGGCTTTTAAGAGTTCAAGTCCTGATTTATTTCTGTCTCCCTAATATTCGCCCTTGGGCACATTCTCCTAACCCATCCCTTTTTAACCATAAAAGAGATGCTATTTGATTTTTAAGTGTTCCACTCATACATCGCAGGAGTGATGTAGGTTTTCTACTCCTACATGAAAAATAAGGTGGCTCCTCACTATAAATCTTCAAAATTCAGCTTTATGCATTTTGAAGAAATAGTACTTAAGAACTAAGCTATGACCAGTGTATCTTAGGACTTCTTATGGTGTGGGTAGTCTCTCTGCTCTGTGTCCTATTAATGTTATTCTTATCATTTCAACTCAGTAAGACATTTCTATGGAGTCAACAGCTGAAGAACAAGGGAATTTGCTGCTACTGAGGCCAGAGCTTTAACGTGCCATTTACCAATGTATCACTTCAGTGGTATGCAGAAAGGCTGAAAGAGAGAGGGTGTGTCATCAGTCCCTGCTTTCTTAGAAAATAGACCTTTCTGAAAAAATAATTAGTAAAGGTCTCAATAAAATGTGAGCCCAATCTATGGAGTAGGCATTAGTTAACTTTTTCCTGCAGTGTGCATTTCAAATATTTTAAGGATGGTTTATCAAAAACATAAGGCTGTTTTCTCTGCTTACTGCTCTGTGATTTGTGACCTGCTCACCCTGTCCCTGTGCCAGGTTCCGAGTCTTCCAGCAGTGCAGGTTCCTCAGGATCGCTGTCCCGCACCCATCCTCCTCTCCAGAGCACAGCCCTGGTCTCAGGAGTGGCCACTGGCTCACCTGGCTGTGTGTCCTATCCAGAGAATGGAATGGGGGGCCAGGTCCCTTCTAACAACACCAGCTACATCCTCCTTCCACTTGAAGCTGCAACAGGCATCCCGCCCGGAAGCATCCTTCTTAATCCACACACAGGTTAGTTTCTACCTATTTTGATAATGATATAAGGTTGTCAGAAGATTGTTCCGACATTTGATTTTACAAATTTGCTAGCAAGTGTTTTTGAAAATTTGTAAGGAGGGATGCTGAGTGTGTGGATTTTTGTGTAGAATCTTTGTTTAGGAAAAGCAAACATATATCAGATTTATATTTTCATATCTATCTAAACACAGATATGGATATTTCCCTGAAACATTCACTTTTGTCTCTTTCCTTTCTTTTCACCATAATCTCATGCATTCTTGAGAGCTAAGGCTAGAAACATGAGTGCAATGAGCCAGGATATACTAATTAAAACTTTGTGTTCCTTGGACCTAATCCTTTATTAACTCATATTAAATCAAAACATTTTTCAGCATCCGAAAAAATCTCAGGATTTTATTTACCTTCTGAATGGGAAAGAATATGTTCAATGGGAAGGAAAAACTGGGATGAAGAAAAGCACAAAGGAAAAAGGGGGAAAAGACAAATATGTATATCTGCAGGATAATTTAAATAATTGTACCACTGATTTCTTCTGGTCCTTTGAAAGAAGAAGTTAATAGTTAATTTTTATTATTTTTCAATTTCTTGTTACCTTCTCTCTCTTTTTTTGCTGTTTTCTTTCTTTTTGTTTGTTTGTTGTTGTTTTGCAGGTTTATATCTGGTAACCTAAACAACTAACTTGAAGATAACTTTGTCTAATGAAATTTGTATCATTTCTAATGCTTTATTTCTTATTTTGTATTCTTAAAATATATAATATCTCAAAAACTTGAAGAATCAATTAGGACTTATAGTTGGTCCTGAAACAGAAAAGTTGCTTTCATCTTAGAACATCACCAAACTCTTATAGGGGAATAATGGACAGCAGTGGTGAAGAGAAAATTTTCCATGTTATAGGGCCAATAAGTTTAGACTGGTTTTGTTAGGGTTTGGAAAACTGTTCATTCCATGCTTATTATCACTTCAATGATGAATAATCATTTATTCTTTAATTTTGAATTTCTCAAGTCACTCAGTTAACTTCCACATTAATTCCAAAGGACTAAGGGCATTGAAGTCCTAACACTAGGGGAAAAAACAAACAAACCCTGTGGGACATCTATTTTACGGAGGAAATCATTGAGTGCTCCCAAACCCAATATGGTAATATATGGGAATATTTTGATTAGGATTATCATGACCTAGAAAAGAAAGGTAAGCTAGTGAAAACTAACCATCCCTAAAAATACTATTTACCATGCCCAAAGCAGAGGACAGTCCTCAACAGTGGGTTACCCAGCTGAAATTAACAGCAATGCTGTAGCCAAGTAAATCCGGTTGGGAAAGTTTTGCATTGATGAGTCACTTCCTGGGAGACCTTTATTAGTGATTTTTTTTTAAAGATGGAATTGTTTCAAAATGGATCTGAGATTTAATTGGTATCATTTCAGAATGTTTCTTCAATTAGCTAATTTTGAAATGTAAAACTAGATGAGTATCTCATAAAATTCATCCTACTCAGTGTTCTCACATATATAGTTCCACTCATAATTAGAAGATTGAGAGAAACATGAAATCCATACTAAAATAGTTACTTGAATAATTGCCACATTTTCATAAAACACATGGCAGATCCTCAAAGTATAGTGTTGGACTGAGACTTTTTGAAAATGCCATAAACTTGAAGGAAAAAAGTCATTATTTTATTGAAAACCATATGAAAGCTCCAGATTAGATACTTCTTAGAAGGATGTTGTATTGCTGTTATTTTATTTAGATTATTGTAAGCAGCATAAAGGAAATTGAAGGATGACCAGGATCCTGTCTCTTACTCTGGGCCTTGATCAAAGTGTGATCTGAGTTTGTTGGCTTCAATTTGTTGGCTTCAACTTGTAATTGAGATAGTGAGTTTGCAGAAAAGAACACACATTAAGCACTTACTTTGAATGATTTGTTTTAAGCAAAATTGCAATGTTTCAAAGAAATTCAGCACAGTATTTTTAGGGTACTATGCAGGAATATTGTTTGCAATGATTGCATGGCTGTGCATGCGAATGTGTATATTATCAGTGATAATCTTGTTTACAAAAAAAGTAATAGAGTGCTGCTGGTGCCAAGTCCCAATTCTTACTTATTGGATGGAATCAATAGGAGCTGCTATCAAAATATCTCTTTTGGAAAGAGATCTCAGCTTAAGAACAGGATATAATAATATTGTTGTATGGCTCCTCCAGATATTTCTCAAATATGACAAATGCTAGACATTAAAATATCTCTGAACTGGAAGGAAAGCACATTACTATATTTATAAGATAGTTGAGTGATACAATTCAGGATGAATTATTATGTTCTTTGTAGAATGTACTTATTTTATGAATTAAAAATGAACACGTTGAGACTGGGTATGGTGGCACATACCTGTAATCCCAGCACTTGGGAGGCTGAAAACAGGAGGATCACTATGAGTCTGATCTGTGAAGTGAGACCTTGTACTAAATACATAAAACATAAATAAAATAAACACACACATTATATAGATAGATAGATAGATAGATAGATAGATAGATAGATAAACATATATATTAGTTAATTTTGTATAAATCTTAGTTTTTTGTCTCCTAAAACTAAAGAATAAATGATAAATTTGAGGAAAATGGGAAGAATTTAGAAAAATGTTTATTGGAAAGGAAAAGAAGAAAAATTCTCTTGGCAGCTAGCTGGGTGAACAGGAAATCCAATCATGCTCTCTTTGCCTTAGTCTTATGTAGAGAAGTGAAGGGTAAAGCACAGGGGCTTGCTTTAAAAGAGATGAGTTCAAAAGGCCATTGGTTATCTTGCATAATTCCTTGAAGTCCCAGTCTTGAGGGGGAGAGGAACTGTTAAGCAACTGCTGCTAAGGCCATTCTCAGGCCCAGAGGAAAGCCTGCTTCCCTGAGGGAGGAGTCCTCATTTCTTTATTCCCATTCCAATCCTTACCCTTCCTTCTTGTATTTATTTTTGCATGAGTAAACCTGGTTTGGCCACTTGGATTAGTTCTTATCGTGAATGGATAACTTTATTCTCATTTACATATCCTGCTTAACTCTCTTCCATTTAACTTTATCTTGGGCTTCTCTAACAGCCCACTTGGATAGCCAGACTCAGCACTATAGAGTATGTGCATATGTACATATGTAGCTACCCTATCTCGCATTTGACTTCTGCTGTGGAAAATGGCAGGTTACGTCTTTGGGCTGAAACCCATCTTTCAGTGCCAGCACTGTGAACCCTTGAAAGTGCAGTTAGTACCCTTTCCTAAATACTTTCCTATACTCTGGTTTCTCTTCAAATTGTATAAATCTTTCGCCTTTTACTAAATACTTTCCTGTCAAATACAGTACATTGTCCAACTTTGTTGCTGTTGGGGTCCAAGAACACATCACTACTTCGTTTCTCACATGAATTGCCCTCAGGTTCATTTCCATGTTATTAGCATTTATAAGCTCTTTATGAAAAGGCACAAAACTTAGCTATTTCATTTTCTATCTTATCTATTCCTTCCCCAGAATGGATCACAAGATTTAGGCCATAGTTCAACTAGTCAATAATTATATAATATTGAAATATTATCCACTACTAATTATATATGTTGATTTGGACAGTGGAACAATGTTCATCTACCATTGTATATTTGATAATGTGGTTCATGTATAAAATTGTAATTGATGGAAGATCAGTCTTAGGTGAAATTAAAGTAGACAATAACCTACTTCTGACAATCATGTGCCTATTCACTGAAACAAGATTAGAACTTCTTTTGTGAGCACCATTGACTTGGCTATTACCAAGTACTGAATATCGGGCAGGTTGAAACCAGCCCCAGCCACATATGCTCCTGCATTTTCTCCAATACAACTATGCATTTTAATTCCATCTAGAGTATCTTTCACAAAGTTGTCTCTATACAGCATGTTCATTG